GCCCCTCACTGGGGGATTCTAGGCAGGGGCTCTACCACTGAGCCACGGCCCCAGCCCCTCACTGGGGGATTCTAGGCAGGGGCGCTACCACTGAGCCACGCCCCCAGCCCCTCACTGGGGGAGTCTAAGGAAAAGCACCCTGAGGCCAGGTAGAGAGTCCCCAGGAATGCATAAAGATCCTCAGAGAAAGACAAAAGAATCCCTAAAGCTAGGCGACAAGATTTGATAAAGGTCTGTGGAAAGGGAACAGTGTGTCAACAGTAACTTTCTTTCCTACCTTGGTGATAGGACCTTGATTGGACAAATGCTGGAACATGGAAGAACTGGAGAACTGCATGTGGCCAAGTGCAGAACAAAGAACAGGGTGTTTTGTATCCTTCTGTAACCTTGGAGATTGAACCCAGAGCCTTGTCCACTCTGAACAAGTCCTTTACCAGGGAACTACATCCAGGCATGCAGCTATATAAAGGACATGCAAGAAGGAAGCTCTTGCTTTTTGCATGCTTGCTCTCACTTTGGCTAGCAAATCCATTCCTTCATGGGCATTAGAGCCGACTTCTTAAGGACTCTAGTGTATACTGAAGACCAGCTGAGACATCCAGTCTTGTGGACTGAACTACTGGATTCATGGCCATTCTATTGGCAGACAACCATTGTTGAACTAGCTGGACCATAGCCTATAAACCATCCTAAATCTCTCTCTCTCTCTCTCTCTCTCTCTCTCTCTCTCTCTCTCTCTCTCTCTCTGTGTGTGTGTCTCTGTCTCTCTCTTTCTCTCTCTCCTTACCTCCCTCTCTCTCTCTCTCTCTCTCTCTCTCTCTCTCACACACACACACACACACACTCACGTGCACACAATCCAAGCACACTGTAGACAGAGGTGGGTGGATCTTGAGTTCCAGGCCAGTCTGTGCTACATTGCAAAATAGTCTGAAATTTCCCATTACTATTACAAGATACTTAACAAAGACAACTCAGGAGGCCTTATTTCAGCTCATGCCATTGGAGATCTCACTCTGTGGCTGTATGGCCCATCACTGTGGGTCTGTAGCAAAAAGAACACAGTAGCAGGAGAGCATGAAAAAACAAAGCGGCTTCCCAACAGCCACGCAGCAGAAGGGGGCCATGACAGCTGACAGACCTGCTCTCCAGCCAGCTCAGCATCCTAAGAGCCCATGAGGTTGGCACACCGTGACCCAGTCACACCCAGCACCAGCATCTGGGGACCAAGCCATACATACATGCTGGCATTCTGGGAGACATATCAGATCCAAAACGTATTAGCTGTCTGTCTCCCCCGAGAATGCACAGCCTCCATCCTAGGAAAGGCTTATTACCATACTTGGAGATCCATCAGTCCTCCCCAGGACTGGTCCGAGTGTCCAATATTATAGTGTCCATTGCCTTGTCTTTGGCCTTGCTTGCTGGGAGTCTTCCTCTTGACTCTGGTGTCCTTGGGCTCACTTCACTACTGAATGGTGTATGTGTGTGTGGTTTTTTGTTTTGTTTTGTTTTTCGAGACAGGGTTTCTCTGTGTAGCCCTGGCTGTCCTGGAACTCATTCTGTAGACCAGGCTGGCCTCGAACTCAGAAATCCGCCTGCCTCTGCCTCTCAAGTGCTGGGATTAAAGGCGTGCGACACCACTGCCCGGCATGTGTGTGTTCTTTAGAGAGACATTTCTCCGTGTAGTCTTGGCTGTCCTGGAACTAACTCTGTAGACCAGGCTGGCCTCAAACTCAGATCTGCCTGCCTGTCTCCTGAGTGCTGGGATTAAAAGCATGCCCTACCACTGCCCAGCTTGGGATCTATGTCTATGTGCTATTTTTGGTGCTGGGTATGGAACCCACAGCTTTGTACATGAACACATGCTGTCCCTGATCCACAGCCTCGGCCCTAGTTTGTATGCACACATCTATGAAGGCTGGGGGGGGGGTGTCAGTATCTTCAATCACCTTCCACCTTATTAAAATTATTTAAGGTGTATTGTCTGTGCAGTGTGTATGCCAGGCAACATGGAGGCCAGAAGCCAGCGTGAGATCCCTTGCAACTGGAATTACAGATGGTTGTGAGCTGCCAGGTGGGAGCTGGAAACAGGACCTAGTCCACTGGAAGAGCAGCTAGTGCTCTGACATGCCGATCCATCTCTCTAGCCTCCCACTTTGTGACACAGGTCTCTTGCTGTGTTTAGCTGGAATGTGTGGCCAGCAAGGCCCAAAGATACTCCAGGTTCCATCTCTCCAGCGTTGGGATTACACACACAGGTCACTACTGCACCGCCTTCTGTGACTATTCCAGTGTAATGTCCATGAAAGCCAGGGGGCCTGAGATCCCCTGGAGGTGGAGTCACAAGTAGTTATGAACTACCCAGCATGGTTCTGGAAACACAATTCTGGTCTCCTGTAAGAGTCCTTAGCCACCAAGCCACCCTTGGGGACTCAATTCATCTTCATGCTTGCATGGCATGAATTTGCCAACTGGACCCCTGATTATTTCAAGCAGGTCCAAGAGATGCTACTGCCTCATCTTATTCCTCCTACCACAGGTCCTGGAACCATCTGTCATCTGTTTCCTTCACTCCATCCCTATCTCTGAAGTCTGAGGAGGTCTCACTACACAGCCTAGGCTAGGTTTAACCTTGTAATCCCTCTTGCCTTATCTCCGCCATTCACCTAGCTGGACCCGTACTGGAACTACAAGCATAACCACCACTCCTGACCAGAAAGTTTTCCTTCAGATCTGAACACATTTCAAAACTAGCCAGCACATTCGAAGATCATAGGATATAGGCCATAAATACCAAAGTACAAACACAGCAAGATGGAGACTTTTATTTTTTATTACAGCATTGATGATAGCAGAGGGAGGAGGGGAAGGAAGCAGAAACCTAAGTAAAGTCTTGGTGATGGAAGGCACACACACGCCTATGCAGCCTTGTGAAGCAACTGGGAGCACGAGGCCAGAGTGTCCCCTGATCCCTGAGAATCCACTAGTGTGATCCAAGTCATCTCTCCAAGGACCCAGCAGACTGAGGACATCTGCAAAATTCCTACGGTATGGCAGTGAAGGGCCACAGCCCAGGCATGGTGTCAGCCGGCAAGAGGGAGGGATACACAAAGCGCAGGCCAGGGTTCATGTCAAAGTCCACAGTGATGCCACCCCAGACCCCGGGCTGTGGGGGCTCACTTCTTCCTGAGAAGTTTATAAACATAAACTGGGGAGAAAACAAGATCTTGTGAAATGTTTGAAGTGAGCCTTGTAGGAAGGCTTGGAAGGATAATCCAACCACTTCCAATGAAATGGGTCGGATTTACGAAAACTCTGTCCCTCAAACTAAGCAGCACAGGCACATGGAAGGATGTGTGTTTGCTACAGGAGCAGCTGGCTGGAGGCCCCTTACCAGGAGCTGTTGGAAACCTGAGGTAGGCAGGAATGTGTCCCGCTGGGAGATGAGTCACACAAGGTGACACAAGAAACTCCTCCATCTGTAACTGAGGGGCTGCAGTCCAGGAGAATACAAGGCATTTTTTTTTTCTTTTTCCTAGGTTTGAAAGGGAACCTAGGGTCTTTCAAATGCTAGAGTCAAACACTACAGTGAGCTGTAACACCGCAGCAGAGGCTTCATCTCCTCCTATCAGAGCTACAGGGGCACACTTCTTACCGAAGATGGTCCCACCCATCCTGGACCTGCACAGTCTTCTCTGCAGTTGGGAAAGATGTCTAAACCGGCTTTGGCTTTCCCACAGCCCAGTTTCCAGCTCTCAGATTTTCATGCCTGTGGTGCCCCCAATTCTAGTAAAACCTGGAATAGATCCACCTGCACCAGGCCCTCTGTGTGCCTGGGCCCTGGGTATGGGAAAGGAGGACGTACCCCAGTGAGCCCCACAACCCAGAGGTTCAGTCCTAGACCTGTGCAGCTGTAGTCAAATGTTCAGGTGCTCCTGCTGGGAGTTACCACAAGTGCTGTTAAGTCACAGATTTTATGATGGCATTTGGGGACATTAAGGCTTCCTGGTTCCACATAGAAACTGTTCTAGGGCTCAGAGGCCAAGTGAATGAACTACCCCTTGTACTGCCAGGGTACACATGTGCTTCCTGTTTAGAGATGTTCAGACACCAGCTGCCCCAAATCTGGCAGTTTCTAATGGCCTGAACCCATCCCTACCCAATAGAACCCACCCAGCCACCCCCCCTCCCCTCCGCAGTGCCCATCTCCCTGCAGCCAGGATCCACCACCCACTTTCCCACTGCCACGTGTTCCATCCCCACAGCTCCATGACCTCAGAAAGGCAGGATCTGGTACTCTGGGACTCCAGTGCCAGGGGAGGAGAGGCGGTGGCTAAGGAAATGTGGACTGGCGCCTGGTCTGAAATGAGTGTCTTTATTGCTTGTACCGTACAAATACGAGGAGTAAGGAAAGGCCAGTAGGGATGGGAGAAAACTCTCAGATAAACATACACGCATACAAAGTAAAAAACAGATGACCCCCATAACCATCCCGGCCACCCTACCCTACTGCCTTTCTAAAGTCCACCGACTCTGGGGGTGCGGTGGGAGAGCAGACCCAGGAGAACTCATTTCCAAACACCCAGAGATACTGAGGTGGGGGAGACACGCCAGAGCGGCAGGCCAACCACCTGCCCTCGCTGCACCCCATGGGATCAAACACTCAGGCTGGGGTTGAGGCCTGAGCCCACTCACACAAGTGCTGTAGACAGCTGTGGGCAGCAGCATCCCAGGAGCCTGAGATGGTCACTGCTAGGTCAGGGTGCACACTGCACCCACAGCACTCACTCACTCACTCACTCACTCACTCACTTTAAGGCTGCAGAACAGGGGCCCCGGAGATGAGGCAGACTCCACCCCACTGTGTATCAGAGATACCTGTCCCCGTCTCTGTTCCCTCTCAGACCCCAGTCAAGTCCAAGGGGCCCAATACTGTCTCGGTGTGAGATGTGTAACAGCCAAGGTTGGCTTCCCTCTGCCCCAGGCAGAGAATGGAGCCATCCAAAGGGGCCCAGCGGGAGGCAAGGCTGGCTAGAAGGAAGCCCTGGTAAGGCACTGGGCTGCGGGCAGACAGGCTGCCCACAAACATTCCTCCTGCTTTATTAAGAATCAGAGAGCAGCCTGGGAGGAAGAGGCAGGTTCAGGAGGCAGCTCCTGCTCCTGGACGCCCTGTGAAGGAAGATCCAGGGACTTGGGTCCAATTTCCATGGAACCAAACCCAAAGCCCTCAGCTTCCGAAAGCTTCTGCCTATCCCTGGACATTATTGCTTTTCTGCCCCAGTAGGGTGGCAGCAGAGAGACTGCCCAGATGACAGCATAGAAGGCAGCTGGGGTGCTGGGGTGCTGGGGTCAGGGGGCATTTCTAGATGTGTCCTCCGCTGGCTTGCCTCCAAATCCAGGTGACCCCATGGCTCCCCACTTCACCCTCTTGGAGGCTGGTGGTGATTAATGACCCCACTCTCCATCCTCCCAACAGCCTGTCCTTGGGCGGCTCTCCAGCACTCGTCTGGAGCAGAGGGGAGGCCAGAGGCCAGGGCCGCCAGGGCTGCTAAGTGTGAGCAAGAACTGAAGAAGAGACTGGATATGGGGTGAGGGGACAGGGAAGGGAACACAAACCAAAAGGCAAAATAAAGTTCTTTTTAAAAAGCCACCCAGGCAGTGGATGACAGCCATGCTTGTGTCCTGTGGTGGCAGAGGGCTGCTCACTCTCGGATGCTGGCTGAGTAGGAGAACTGGGGGAAGTGTGTCCGCTGGTCCAGCTCCAGCGAGCCGAGGCTGTCATCTGTAGGATTCGGTGGAGATGCATGGAGATGACGGAGCAGCAGGCTTGCCCAACCCACCTCACCCTAGAGAGGCGTGTGCTGGACCACAGGAAACCTGCACAGGAGCGCTGGCCCACAGCACCAGCACCAAAGGCAAGCAGCTTGCTTCTGGAGAGAGGCCTTAGCTATGGCTTCCTCCCCTGGCTGGGTCTTCTGAATGTCTTTCCCCCCTCCCCAGCACTGTCTACTACTAGGGTCTAGCCTGGCCTACCCACCCATACTCACTTACAGCCAAGGGACTGTCAACAGCCATGGCATAATTCTGTCCCGCACACAGAACCCTTACAGAAGTTTTCATGGCAAAGGTCTCCTCTACTTCCCAGACGAACCCCAGAACTTTCTACTTTAACCCCATGCCCTCTTGCCTCTCCCAGGCCCCATCTGCCTGCCCACAGCCTGTCCTTTTCCTGCAAGGTTCTCTCCCAGAGAACCCAGAGGTACCCAGAGGCACTCCTGCCAAGAATGCACTCTTGGCTGCCACACTGCCAGGCCAGGTAGCTTCTTCGGCTTCCCTGCCCTGGGATCCTAGGAAAGCTCTGAGGGCTCGCTCGGGGCTGTCCAGGACAGGGAGGGTGGAACGGCTCCCTGAGTACCCAGCCTTGGGGAAGCTTCAGATCAAGAACACAGTCCGGACCAAAGACCGGGTCTGTCCCCAACCCCCAGAACATGCTGTAGCCACAGTCCTCGATGATCCTTACCCAACAGCAGGCCTTGCAAGCCTATCTTAGGGGAAAGTGCCAGACACAATACAGACAGCCAACCAAGGTCCTCCTGGCAAACACAACCCAGGGCCGACCCCACCGAGTCTCAGCCATCGAGTCAGCCCCAGGGACCGTGGAACCCTGGATACTTACATCGGTCTGGGGGTGTGACTGTGATCGACTGGGCGGTGAATTCATCATCGAAGTACCTTGTGTCCACTTCTGAAGTGACCTGAGGTTTGAAGGGTGGCAGGAGCTGTGGAGAGGAGCCTGGTGTCAGCAATGGCAGGTCACCTGTGGGCAGGTGAGGCCCCTGACGCAGGCCAGGGTGAGTACTCACCTTTTTCTGTACCACGTCCTGCCAGTTGATGCTGAGGAAGAACCGATGCTCCATGACCTCCTTTGCATCACTGGGACCTCCGCCGAGCCTGGGCGGAGACAACCGTCACCAACCACCCAGCACCCAGCACCCAGCACTGCAGGGTCTAGGAGCCAGGTTCAAAGCAAGGCAGGCATAACCTAGGGTCCGAGGTCCCTGCACAGCTTTTCTTCATGCTGTCCTAGCACAAACCCCTTTTCTGAGGGGACCTAGGACTGGGGAGCTCATGGCTTAGGTCAGAGGCAGGGAGAAGGCAATCTGGGACAAAGCAGCCTCACAACTGGCCTCATCTTTATCCATGAAGAGGTGACAGGGTAGTGGGGGAGGCTTACAAGGCAGACAGCTCGCACACTGGCTCAACCTTAGACAGTCCTGTGACCTTAGGCTGGCCGTAAGGAGTGCCGCATTCCTATGTCCCCTCAGAGGAGGCAATGCAGGAAGGTACATCCTGTGGGGCCACTGCGGCTGCTCAGGGGATAACACACTCCCAGGCCACACCTCTGCTTAGGGTCCTTCTTCAGCAGCCCAGCCAGCAGGGACTTGGCCTCTGGTCCGAGCGTTCGTGGGAAGCGGATCTCCTCCATGAGAATGAGCTCGAAGAGGCGCTCGTGGTCCTGGTTGTAGAAGGGCAGGCGGCCACACATCATCTCGTACATAACCACGCCCAGCCCCCACCAGTCCACGGCACGCCCGTAGTCGTTGTCCTCCAGCACCTGAGGGAGGGAGGACAAGCCAGGCAGGGGACACTAGTGTGACTCCACCCTCTGGGTCTCCTCCACCCTTGGCCTGCACGCTCCCTGCCCGCAGCCCAAGACACCTCAGGTGCCAAGTACTCCGGGGTACCACAGAAGGTTTTCATGGTGGCCCCATCGGTGATGCCCTCCTTGCACAAGCCAAAGTCAGTGATCTTGATGTGGCCATCTTTGTCCAGCATAAGGTTTTCCAGCTGTTTAAAAAAAAAAAAAGCCAACATATGAGGGACAGATCCTCCCAGAGTTTCTTTCCTTCTAAAGGAGCAGTTCTCAACCTGTGGGACCCAATGACTCCTAAGAGCGATGGAAAACACGTACTTACAGTGTGATTCATAACAGCAGCAATATTATAGTTAGGAAGCACAACAAAAAGAATTTTGTGACTGGGGCTCACCACAACATGAGGAACTGCATTAAAGATCAGAGCATTAGGAAGACTGAGAACCACTGCTGTAGAGGCAGTAGTTTGGGGTGGCAAGCTGTCACATCAGGGTTTCCTGGGGGACAAGGGGCCACAGCACATGCACCGTAAGTTTCGTTTCTTTTTGAAAGAGGTCAAAATCCCAGCAGTTTGCTTCTTCTAGGATTAAAAGCATGTGGCATCAAACCTAGCCTGGGCTTTAGTTTTTAAGGTTCAATGTAAGTGGTACTATGTTCTCAGAATTTGTTTTGTTTTTTGAGATAAGGTTGCTATGTAGCTACAGCTCTCGTTAAACTCAAATCAGTCCTCCTGCCTCAGCCCCTCACGTCTTAGAATTACAGGCATAAGCCTGGGTTTTTGGTTTTTGTTTTTCAAATAAGGTCATTCTGTATAGCTCTGTCTGTCCTAGAATTCACTATGTAGACCAGCCTGGCCTCGAACTCAGTGATCTGCCTGCCTCTGCCTCCTGAGTGCTGGGATTAAAGCTGTGCACCTCCAGTGAATGCATGGCTCAGACTTTCTTTTAGTTATAAAGCACACAACACACATACCACTCAGTAAGGCCTTAGTGTCTACAGGCCAGGTTCTAGTAGAGCCTGGGAGTCTAGTTATTAACAGCCCTTCCTTTCCTTGGTTCTCTCGGGTCGGTGTGCTGTGCTGGGCCTAGAAGCGGGGCCTACTGCTCCCCACTCTCTGGCTTCTTCCCACACTCACCTAGGAGAGGCTCTGCATCTGCTCTGCCCTTTCCCGAAACGGGATGCACACTCTTGGGCAGCAGGAACAGTGTGCCGCTCTGAGCGTGTGCACACCTTCCCCGGTGAACACATGTCCCTGTTTCTAGTGTGCTCAAGGGCAGATGGCTGGCACATAGTTTTGGCATCACTGCCAAGTTATGCTCTGGGTGGTGCCAACTGACACCCCCATCAGCAGCCTGGGGTACCCCCAGGTCTTCACTGTAGAACTGTCTGAGGTGTGTGCCATGGGCTATCCTGGATCCTGTGCACTGTCCCCCACCCGGCACTTGGCCCACAGACCGTCCTCTCACCTTGATGTCGCGGTACACCACATCCCTTGAGTGTAAATACTCCAGAGCTGACACAATCTCTGCTCCATAAAAGCGCGCCCGATCTTCCGTGAAGACTCGCTCTCGAGAGAGGTGGAAGAAGAGCTGCGAGAGGAGACCGGCCTTAACACTGGTTCCCAGAGACCCGGACCCGCAGCCTGGGATATGCCCCAGAGCAGACAGGCTCCAGCAACAGAACCAAGAAAAGAATAGCACAGGCCCAAGAGGAAACGAGAAAGGAAAGATGTAATCCTGGTATGACTCCCCACAACATCAGCACGGAGGCTGAAACCACAAAGTAGGAATTCAAGGTCAGCCTTCGGTGCTGGCTGAGTCCGAGACTGGCCTTGGGTACACAAGACTATTGGGGAAAAAAAAAATGAGCTAAGGCTGAGGCCAGTGTGACGCCGGTGTGAGGCCGGTGTGAGGCCAGTGTGATGCCGGTGTGAGGCCGGTGTGTAACCCCAGTACAGGGGAGGTACAAACAAGAGAATCATGAAGCCAAGGCCAACCTTAGCTACAGAATGAGAATGTGTCTGAGACCAGCCTGGGCTATCTGAATGAGATTTTACCTAAAATTAAACAAATAAGCACATTAATCACTTAGCCACTAATAAGCAAGTAAGCAAGGGCTGGAGAGTAAGCAGTTTATTGTAGGTGCCAATGATAGGACAGTGGGGACAGTGTGAGGGACAGGCAGTGGGGACAGTGTGAGGGACAGGCTGTGGGGACAGTGTGAGGGACAGGCTGTGGGGACAGTGTGAGGGACAGACAGTGGGGACAGTGTGAGGGACAGGCAGTGGGGACAGTGTGAGGGACAGACAGTGGGGACAGTGTGAGGGACAGACAGTGGGGACAGTGTGACGGACAG